TTAGTTCGAGTGCCTCTTACTTAAATAAGGGCACTTATGTCTTTTCCAATTATATTAATAATATAATAACAGGTCTGGCCGAAACTAGGGTAGATTTTTTCCCTAATTCGAACCAGACCTTTTCTCTTCTTCTTCCTCTTTCTTCTTTCTTCTTTCCTCTCTTCCTTCTTGCTGTTTACTTTACTTTTCAGCTAACAAACAAAACAAACTTCTAGGGCAGGCCGAACTTCAACAAAATCAAACCTAAGATTGAAATTGAATAAGGAACCCCATTTATAATATCTCCCCTATATAGAGGCTGGGATTATTACTGTTCTGAGAGATTGAGAAGTTCTATTTTTCTATTTCTTCTTTTGATCAAGTTCATGTTGGAAGCATGCTAGCCTGGACTGGATTGTTTGCGAAAAAGAGGTGAAAAACTTCACTACTAAAAATTATGAAATCCTCGAAGTGTACAAATATTTTACTTTGTAAATCAGCACTACTATTTTTCCAACACAAGTTCTATGTACATAATATTAACTTTAATTGACTGAAAGGAAATGTACATAATAATGCAGGTAGAAATTACAAAAGGGCCTGTTTACAAATGAAGCAACTCTTATGAATAAATAAACATCACAGTTGAACTATTACTGTTATCTTTTAGTACTTATTGATACTCCAGTTTTGCCTACTTCTTTCATTTTCTTCCACAGATCAAATATTAGGAGATTGAACTTTAATGGATTTTATACAATGGTTCTGCAAAAAAGAGATGAATTGATATCTGTGGCCACAGTGAGGTAACTGTTCTGTCTCAATGATTGTTTCCCGTTTAATTTCTTAATTCTGTAGGAATTTGTGATGTTCATAGGCATCATTTGTGGTTGCCGTGTTAAATTTTCAGGGTCCATGGACAAATGGTTGCAGAGATGCCTCTAATTGCAACCCGTTTTCAACACCGCCAGCAGGGTATGTGCCATCTTCTTGTGAATGAACTGGAGAAGGTAACCTTCATCTATCCCAATAATTTTGTGAAGAATTCATTCTTTTGGAGCGGCTGATCTGAATATGATATTAAACTTTGATGTCATGAGACACACATTGCTTTGCAATTTACAGATGCTATCTAGATTGGGAGTAGAAAGACTTGTCTTGCCGGCTATTCCTCAGCGAACACAAACCTGGAAAACTTCCTTTGGGTTTACAGAGATGCCAATTGAGGACAGATTAGATCTTATGGGTTATCCCTTCCTGGGTTTTCAGGGCACCACGATGTGCCAAAAATTCCTTCCCAGGCCTAGTAGAATAGTCAAATCAAGAGGTACAGTTGGAACAGTTTTCTTTTTCGGTCATAATAACATCACTCTTTAATTCAATAGGTATTTTCTTCACTTTATTGTTTGTTTTATCTTGTTCATATTGGTGGAGTTTCTGCAGGCAAGTCCAGAAGATTAAGGGAGAGGCTTTTGGAAAATTTTGTGGTATTCTGAACTTAGCTTTCACTTCATTCTGGGTATCATGGTCTCAGGTTAGTTCTGGTGATTTAAATTAATTTTCATGCCGCAGGAAAATTATGTGGGTGATTGCAAGCAAAGATTCAGTGGCTTTTGCTATGAGCGCAAACTGAGGAAGAACTTGGGGAAGAGAACATAGAGAGTTCTGATGGAAATACATAAAATGTGCAAGAACGTTTAGAGGTGAAGAGCGCTGTCTAGCGAAGGTATGAGTATATATCGGTAGCTACCTACTGCTCAAGCAAACTTTAGTTGATTTCTATTGTGCATCCAATTGCTGATGCCATGATTCTTTTTGTTTTTTCCTTGTTAGCTTAGCCTCGGGTTATATATAGGTTGTACAGTGCTTTAGCGGGGAAAAATTTAAAAGAAATTGCAAATGACCGTTACCCATATGTTAATTTAAAGCAATATAGGGGACAGGATTCAGGAATGGCTGTACATAGGATAAGCTAATTTTTCATGTACAGTGGATAATTGTCAAGTTGAATTAGTTCTTCAAAGCAAGCTTTATGCTCCCAGTGGAAATTTAATAATGCAGAGCTCTCTGTATTTGTGCACCAGCCCGGAACTTTGTAGTGTGAGGGTTAGCACTAGCAGTTGACCATGGCGGGACACAGGGTGGAAAGATGATGACTGGCTGCAAACTAGTTTGCACTTAGAATATGAATCTGTGAAAGATTCATATTTCATAATGGTCCAGCCCTGCCAAATGAAGGGGAGTTTTTACACCACTGGAAACATCGACTGTGATTCTATGAACAGAAATAAGACTTTTAGAAAATACAAATCCGACAACTAATAGAAACAGCAGGGGCAAGAGATGGACTTGATGTGCTTGTTCCGAAGGCCTTTAAAAGGGCTGCTCAAGCAGTGACTAGTAGTGGAAGGACTGGAGGGGGTTGATGGAGCCCCCGGCAGCGTATGTAGTAGAAAAACTCCACGATGACCGACCAGATCATCTTCTTCACTCGACCTCTCTCCGGAGGCATCGTCGGAGAAACGTCTGCGTACTGGAGCTTGACCGCACCGCGAGTTGAAGCTCAGAGCTTGATGCCTCTTCCAACGTCAGGCTCTCTCTCTCAGCGTAGTTGTGAGTGAAACAGGGTCTCTTTTACGCGGAACTTAAAATTGCAGAATGCAGATATAAAGTGGAGAGAAATCGGAGTTAAATAGTAGGAACTCTTTTAAGTTTAGCAAATTGCAGATAGATACTCTGTAATTTGGGATAGTTGCACTTGTAGGGCTTAAAATTTTCGAATGTTCTATTTTAATACCTGGAACTACCAGACATATACATTCCAAAGTGAGAACTCTTTGTTTTCTGCCGGTTTGCATCGGAAAGGTGAAGAAGATGGGTTGTGAAGATAGAGAATCAAAACGTGGGCATTTTTATAATTTACCATTCACGATGATGTTAGTTTAATGGAATAGGACTTGATGTATATTTTTTGAAAATTCAGGCACTAAAGGTAGCACATTTGAAAGTTTAGTTTCTAAAATGAGACCATCCCTATTCCCTAGCAATTATCTATGTTCTGCAATTTACCCAAAAAAATTAATAGTAAATCCTTCAGTCACAGGTTCACATGTAAATTGACATCGACATCCCTTGTTAACTGACGGCATTGTGGCAGGGAGCTAGGGATAGAACCTTTTTTCACACGGTGTTTGAAACGTTTTGGAAATCTAGAATAGAAATACCCCTATGATTACTTGATAATAATGTTTTAAAAAACTATTTGGAATCGGATGGCCCATTTTGACCAAAAATAAAATATTAAAATAAAAATGGCTAAAACCATTGAGTGGGTCGGAATGAGTTGACAGTTTGACCTCTTGAGTCAATGGTTTTTGGCCAGGATCGGGTTTGAGGTAAAACGGAATTGATTGTCTCGGTGGTTCCCGGGCTGAACAGTCCAACCATCCAGGTCAACAGCAGTTTGAAAACATTGCTTGAAGATCTCAAGAACCAAAATACCCTCATCTGTCCTCCCAGCTCCTCTTATCTTTATCTTATGTGAGTCATCGTCTTCTATTGTGATTATAGACTTATAGTGGCGGATTCAGGACATTTGATCAGTGGGGGTGTGTCTCTGGCCTCCTCTCTTGGGCCTTTTTAAAACAATGAAAAAAGACTTCATTTCATAAGTCAAATTTTATTTGACCACGTACTAATTTATTTGAAACATTTTTAAATCTCAGTGGGACAATTGCTCACACTGGCTTTTATATAAACCCCCTACTGGTGATTTGAATTTGGGATGGAGGGTTTGCTTGGATGATGGACTCCATTTTTCCTAATAAAAGATTGTAAGGATGTTGCAACTTGTAGCCAAGGCGGTATTGGAGACCAGTATTGTGACATATAACCAAGTAACAATTATGGGCAAATATATGGATAACACATCATCATCATCATCACCTTGTCTCAACTATACTGGATTGATTACATAAATTTTGTTCCACCATTCCATTCTCTGTCATATTCATCATTAAACTATAGGCACAAATCATTCCTTTTTATTTCCACGTTAGTTATCTTTGGTCTACCCTTTATTTCCACCCGGTTGAGATGCCCCCTTGCAAATTTATTTGCACTAGTACAAATGCATGGGAGTGCAAATGTAAAAAAAAAAAAAAAATGCAAATTCTTGTTCAATTTTTTTTGGATTTACTTTATTCTGCTTTATATCTTAATTTACTTCATTTGTACTCAATTAAATAAAATAAGTTAAATTTTAAAACAAAAATAGCTTAGAATTTACTCTCAAATCATTTGCACTGCCATGATTTTGCATCAGTGCAAATTTATTTGCATTGCAACCAAACACAGCCTTGAGGAAAAAAAAGATGAAAATGACCATTTACCACTACGGGCCATATTTAAGAACGGGATGCAATGTTCCAGTTTTCTCTTTTTAACCCGACAACGCTTTATACATACTCTTTCACCCCTGGCTTTGGGCAAAAGTCGGGTGTGATACAATCACAAGTTTGCGGCTTTTGACCCAACCAGGAGGGCAAGAGGCTTTGTAGAGAAGAAAAATCAGGCTAAAATCGTAAAATCATGGCCTTTGGTGCAATTGTTGTGCCTCACTTCACGTTGGAGAACAAATCCAATAATCCCGTTTGAAGAATTTACACGGTTTTACTAAAATTTTAATAATTTCCCAATCCGAACCCATCAAAATTAGACTCATTTATTTGGATAATCCTGTATTTAGATTCATATCAATCGGATACGAGGATCGGGTGTTATACAGATCCCAATCTAACGTGATATATTGCTTCCAAACAAATATTAAAGCTATACTTTTGATTGACTGTCCACACGGGGAGGTTGTTGGGAATTGATTGAGCAACGGGAAAACGAAGCGCCGTCGATGAAGCAAATTTGCTTTCACGGCTGCAGCTGAAGCCATAAAGTCAGACAAAAATAAGCCACAGTCCAACTCAGACAGTCGACATCACTCGTCAATCATACCACCCACCGGCCACACGTGCAGCTCTCTTTTTTCACACTCTTTTTCCTTCCTTTCATTTTCTTTTCTTTTCTTTTCTTTTATTCTTCGTCTTTCAATTTAAAGCTGACATCGACTTATTCGGCTTTTCAGATGGCTACGGCGCCGGAAAGATTGATAGATCGTGCGAGTCCGGAAAGAAAGGGGTGAGTTTAAGTAACGCCAGATCTGGCCGGTGTAGCGTCGGGAACTCGGGATTTGGTGGGGGCGACCTCCTTTCTAGGTCTATGCAGGGCAAAACTACAACCAGCAATTGATTGAGGGAAATACAGACAGAAATGGCAAATGAAAAATAGAAATTGAAAAGGATGGATAGCGAAGCAAAAATACAAGAACAGAAAATTTTGCAGCTTTTTTAGGGAAAAGAAATTAAAAAAAAAGCAACACAAAAATTATAGATATATATGATATATATATCCTTCAAAGTTCAGACATCAATTCTCTGTATACAGACTACCTATTACACTGCTTCTTTTTTAATGTGACTACCCTCCTCACATAAACCCCATAAGGCATCAACATCTCCTAATTCGCCTTATTATTCTATTCCTGTAGATTAAATAAATCAGACAAGATCCTTCTCATCACGTTGCCTCTCCTTGGGGGAATCGTTGCCGAACCTTCTGTGAGTTGGAGACGTATGGTCCAATTCCAGCTCCAGCTCCAGCGTGAGTGTGATATCGAGCCCGATCTCGAGTCTGCCGTCCATCCCTTGTTGCCGTCTCCACGGTAATGGTTTCAGCTCTCTCTCCGGCGCCGTCCGCCTCCATCGGTGGATCTGTGCGTGCGTGAGGGACAAAACAAAGTGAGAGTATAAGGAGAGAGAGAGAGAGAGAGGTGTGAAGAGACAATGGCAAAAAACCAACCGGGGCAGTTGTTTTATGGGGAAGAAGTCACGTGCGAGCCTCATGTGATCACGAACGTGTGAGGTTGCCGGATCATCAGAGGAACGAGGAATCTGCTGCATCTCCCATCAATTGTTTTTGTGTATTTCAGGTTTGGAGTTGCATGTAAATTGGAGAGACGTGTTTAAAGATATTGTCTAATAATGTTATTTGTTCCGATTCAGTTTTGTTGAGTTTATTGTTGGGTTACATGTAAATTCGTTCCTAAATGCAAGAGAACGCCTTAGGCAAGAATCTGCAATCAGTAAAGTTGAAGACTCTTCAAAGAAACCTTTTGTGAGACAGTAACAGATAGAGATAGAATAGAGAGAGACTAGTGATTTTCAAAAAGTTGTGTTCAATTGCTTCATTCACACTCTTTAAATAATTTATGAGGAGTCATCGAGCAGAGGAAGGTGCTGATTCAAAAGAGGTTCATTGAACAGTCACAATTTCAAACATTGTGATTGTTAAAAGGTAATTAACAGTTAATGGCTGCTAACTTTGAATAGTGTCTCTTGATAACACCTGATTGGATCGTGACCGTTGAAATCACCAACGGTTAGCCTTGCACCAAAAGTCAAAGTCACCTTACGCAAACAGAGTAAGTTTTCTATTTTTGTTTTTTGCTACTATGAATTTTGTTATTTAATCTATTTTCGTTTTTTAAATAATGTTTAAAATATGATTTAGTATTCAAATTTTTATATTGAAAACATTTAAAATTTATTTAAAAATAATATATAAAACATAAATAATACCCTGCCCCACCACGAACAGGGTAAGTTTTCTTGAATCTTAAATAGGGATAGGGAAGAGATAGGGTGGGGATTAGGGGTGTAAATGATAGTCGAAAATCCAATTTCGAATTTGATATTCAATACAATCGAATCAAATTCGGATAATTTGAATATCCAATCGGTCGAATTTGGATATCCTATTCATATCGAATAGTTAATCAGATTCAAATTTGGATATGACCTAATTCGATTCGATACATATCCGAATTCTACCAATTATTTAATTCTTATATATAATATATAAAATATTTTTATATAATATATATATATATATATAATAATAATTAAGTTATATAAATAATTTATAATTTATATACTTTATATCAATAAAATAATTATTTTATATATTTATTAATTAATCAAATTCAAATCGAATTAAATATTTGAATATTTAATTAGATTCAAATTTGAATATTAATTTTCAATATCTGTTGGATATCAAATCGAATTCAGATATCGGATTGTCTAATCGGATTCGAATTCAGCTATTGCCTGATTCAATTCGAATTCAATACATTTACACCCCTAGTGGGGATGGGGAAAATATTTTTGCTTCAAATCAAGGAAGGGGAAGGGACAGGGTTTGCATAAAACCCCCCAAACTCGATAGTAAATTAGTAAAATATCAGTAGATTTAATATTGACTTTTAAAATATCTATAAGTTTTTTCTCATATTCTTATAATCCTAGGATCCCACAATTCCACTTATAAAATGCCCCCAAATTGTCATAATCCAATTCCTAAAATACCCCCAAATTCTCATAATCTTATTTGTAAAATATCCATAAATTAGATTGTTTTTAGGTGGTTGCCTCGGGGCGAGGAAAGTTTGTGGATTCCCAATCCCCAACGGGGAATAGGTGCCTTACCTCCAACCTGCCCTGCCACCAGGGACGGGGCGGGGATGGGGTTGAGTGTCTTGACTACATGGGCAAAGCATAGGGAGGGGTGCCACATCCCGTGCATTACATGGGCCCCCACTAGTTATAATTACTTTTGTGCTTTTGATAATTTTTTTTAAAGTTATTACATAATCTTGTTATTTAATCTATTTTTTGTTTTGAAATAATATATAAAATATGATTTAATTATTAATATTTTGATATTTTAAAGTTT